ATTAATGGATGTTGTGAGAAGTCCGCAAGAAGATGTCTCTGTGCTGTTTCATTAATTTTTAATTAGTCTTTGATCAGCACATACCTGACAGGTATACCTGATTATCCATTATTCAACCAACTCTGTTTGTAATGACATTGATCCAGAAAAACTGACCTAAAATCAATATCTATATTGCAGGCAATGCTCCTAATTTCAATAAAAAAAATTTGCACTGATTTACTCTTACTTCTTATGATTAAAAAAGTAAACAAAAAAATATACTATAAAAAAATAAACTTCAAAACAACAGACTCTCATCAGTGCATGCCTCTCAGATATTGTAATGTATTGTACCTCTCTGATGAAATGAAACAAATTAAAACAAAATGTAATTAAATGTAAAGAGACTAAGTAAAAACGTTAAGTTAAAGAAACAAAGTCAAATGAAATGAAGCGACGTGAAACAAAACACAAAACTAAACACAACAAAACAAAGCAAAGCAAGATCAAATGTAAAGAAACAAAATAAAAGTAAAAGAAGCTAAACAAATTAAAACTTAAGCAAAAAACTAAACAAAAAGCAAAGAAAAACACTATAAATGCTACACAATAAAACAAAATGTAAAGAAACAAAACAAAGTAAACTAAAAAGAAACAAAGTGCAACAAAACACAAAACTAAACAACAGAAACAAAGCTACGAAAAATAAGAAACTGTAAAGTAATAAAAAAGTTAAAAGAAGCGAATGAAACAAAGCTTAAAAAAACAACAAAAAGCAAAGCAATGCAAAATCTACTAAAATACTACCCAATTACAGTTTTTTATATTCATCTTTGCACTAAGAACCTTCATGTCATTTTTCAAAACTCTATAGACACAATGCAAAATTTACTATAAGTACTGCATAATCAAAAAAAAAAGCTAAAGAAACAAAAAGTCAAATCAAAAGAAGCAAAGTGAAACAAAACAAAATAAACAAACAAAAAACAAAGCTAAACAGACTATAAATGCTACACTATAAATCAAACACCCATCTGTTTAGAATGGATTTGAAAAGATGCTACACAGATGGATTCTTTGTGTAGTTTGATGCTTCAAGATCTAAAGCTATATTTCATCTCTTCCAAGTCTTCCAGCCATCACTGCTGCCAGAGCTGTGTCCCTGTCCTAATAAAGTGAAAGGACTTAGTTTACAATTGTTACTCAAATTTTTACCAACATTAGACAGAAAGCATGAAATGCCTTCGTATCTTGAACAACCGTGAAAAGCAGCCGCGTCTTGCTGAGTGCTGCAGTTCCACTGAAACAGTCACCATGTACCGAGCAGAGGCATCAGATCGGGAGGCAATCGGCCTATAATCTGTCGCAGTTTCTCTTTTCTTTTCGTTTCACACTGAGAAGTAAAGCACAAGCCATGTTGGAAAAATATTAAGAGATTGTAATGTAAAAAATTATATAAAAATGCTGTAGGAAAAACTTGTTAATTGCTTACACACTATAAAATAATAATAAGAGTACAAAGTATGATTTTTGTGGGTTTAAAAATACACTGTATAATAAGCTCCTGCTTGACACGGACTTTAAATTTGTTTTAATTCAAATGTTTTATTTATATATCTGCCATGTACATCAGGGGTGTTATGCTGCTGTTTAGTTCAGGTTCATATATTAAAATTATATAAAAAAAATGAATGGTTATAAATTGTAAATAGGTAGCAATATCCTTGAAACTATACTTGCTATTTTTACCATAAATGTAAGAGGGTTTGTTTTCTTTACAGAGCATCTTAACTCAACACACATTGTATTATAAGTAAGTACAGTTATTTTCACATCCTCCATAGTCACAGAGGTATGAACATTGTGCTTCTATTTAAGTTTTACAAAGGAGGGGCATTATCTTGATCAAGTCCTTCAATTAGCAATAATGAGATTCTTGATTTCCCACCAGACACAAAGCAATCAAACATCTCTAATTAGAAGCCTTTGATGTAAGCATAGTTAACAGCTCCTCAAACTAAATGAGGCTTCTTACCAATCACAACACAAAAGTAACTTACTGTCTAGAGGAAAAACACTATTCTCAAAGTAAACCAAAGTTCCCTTTCAGTCGGTCACTCTCGACGTCATGTCGGAGGACCGACGAATTGGGATCTCGCTTAGAGGGACCAATCTACTTCGAGTGTAAACTAAACGAGCCAATGCACATTGGCATGCGATTATTGCATCCAGCTGCTGCTGATCACAGCGTGAGTATAAGTAGGCAGCAGATGCATATTCAGCTTTTCGCTTCGGAGCCGAGCGATCACATCGTTCTGCTCCTGACTACTCTACTGAGAGAAGAAGACTGAACGAGTTCAGCGCTCTCTTGGAGAGCTCTTCGTGTTGGCAAACGGCGCTTCAGCGGTGGTGGTTTCCCGTGTCGAGTGGGTTGCACACATCAGGCTGCACTACCCCCTGTTTGTGTTGCAGATGATCATCTCCCCTGTGCGCCTCGGCACGCTAAAAGAGCTTTTCCCTAAAAGAGCAATTTCAGGTGCGTCTTTTTAAAGACGACGTTGCGTGGCATGTGGGTCTTGCTATAGACAACGTATCACCAGGGCGTTCTGGATGCGGTCATTACCTGGCGCTGGGTGATGGTCACCAGTCTTACTCAGTGGGCAGTGCCATCGTAGCTGTAGCTGGTCCTCTTGTGCAGGCCCTGGCCTACGCCAAAAAGTAGGGGCGTAGTTGGCTTCCACAGGACACTGGAAGGGGCAGTAGCTGTGGCCTTTTGGTAGGATCCCAATTCGTCGTTCCTCCGAGCGACCGACTGAAAGGGAACGTCTCGGTTACGTATGTAACCCTCGTTCCCTGAAGGAGGGAACGGAGACGTCACGTCCCGTCGCCACAGCTCCTGTGCCACCGCTGAGCGGCCGGGTCACCGGCTCGGCTCCTCAGCGAAAACCTGAATATGCGCTGCATCTGCTGCCTACTTATACTCACGCTGTGATCAGCAGCAGCTGGATGCAATAATCGCATGCCAATGTGCATTGGCTCGTTTTGTTTACACTCGAAGTAGATTGGTCCCTCTAAGCGAGATCCCAATTCGTCGGTCCTCCGACGTGACGTCTCCGTTCCCTCCTTCAGGGAACGAGGGTTACATGCGTAACCGAGACGTTTCTCTTCTGCAAACATAATAGCTTTTATATTCAGTAACTACCTAGCTTGATGCATTTGAGAATTAATTAAACGCATCATGTCCTTTACTTGAAAAACAACAGGAATAGCACAAAATTATTAGACTGAATGAGCAAAAACATCTACTATAAGAACAATGAGTGGCTGTTAGACAGCTCCTTTGAATCCTGACAGGACAGTTTTACTTCACGTCTGCCAGAGACGTGATTTGGCATCCTCTTCACGTAGCACTGGTGTCACAACGTGCATATATTAACCGCTGCTTGAGCTGCGCCATACTGCGTTTGCTGATATGTTTACTGTGAGAGCTGGCAGTGGCTGCCCAGAGATAAAAGGCTGAAAATATGCTGAGATTCAACATAAAATATTACTCTGCACTATTAATTTACAGCAGGTCTTCACACACAATGCCATTTCAAAACCATTTAATGTTCAGTCAGTTTAAAATCAAATGAAATGCTTTTAAATTAAATGGTAATGGAAAAATTGCAGAAGCTTCTATCATTGTAAATATGATTGAATTTTTTTAACAAAGTGACACTGCGAACAACGAGAACCATCAGACACAAGTACCTACACCGAAGACTTTGCTTCTCCTTATCACATTTCACACTAAAATAACATTATAACACATTTAAATAGACAGACTCCGAATATTCAACTACTTTACTTTTCTGTGCACACTGCTTTAGTGGTGCAGCATAAAAAAAATCTTTCATCATTTAAACAAGAAAGAACTGGGTCACAACCAATACTCAGATACATACTAAGGATTACTTTTTGTATTACATCTGAAAAAACAACAATGCTTACCCTGATTCCTCGCATGCAGATGGGATATAATCAAATGCAATCATTTGGTGGTATCAGTCATTATAGTGAAATTTACAAAAGGTGAGATTTTGTTTTATATTTAGTTGTGGTACATTATATATGGAGCACATGCTATTATTATGACAGATGAATATTGAATGGCGCGGTTGTTTATCAACTTAAAGGAAAATTCTGGCTTCCTTAAAAGCATTTGTGACATTATGGGTATTACCATCAAAATAGTAAAATACCTCTAACTTGTCCCTCGTTTTCTATAAAAAAGCAAATATGTGACATTGGACCACAAAACCAGTCATAAGGGTCTTTTTTTTATTATTTGAATAAATAAGCTTTCCATTGATATATGGTTTGTTAGGATAGGACAATATTTGGCCCAAGATACAACTATTTGAACATCTGGAATCTGAGGGTGCAAAAAAAATAAAAATCTAAATATTGAGAAAATCGCCTTAAAGTTGTCCAAATGAAGTTCTTAGCAATGCATATTACTAATCAAAAATTAAGGTTTGATATATTTACGGTAGGAAATGTAAAAAAAAATCTTTACTTAATATCCTAATAATTTTTGGCATAAAAATTGATCATTTTGATACATACAATGTATTTTTGGCTTTTGCTACAAATATACCTGTGCGCCTTATGACTGGTTTTGTGCTCCAGAGTCACACTGAGGCATTTACAATGGAAGTGATTGGGGCCAATTTAGGATTTATTTGTTAAGTTTAATTATTAAACATGAATTATTCTGTTAAAATGTTTATTATTTGAGCTACAAAGCTTTTTAAATCATCCAAAATAAAGTCAGTTTAGGGTTAGAAGGTTTATGGCACTGCATTGTTTTACTTTTTTCACACTAAAATCATGTTAAACAAATCATGTTTTATGTCCTGTGGCTATGCTATTGAAACTGAGTATTTTAAATTATTTACAAACGGGCCCCTTTCACTTCCATTGTAAGGGCCTCACTGTAACCCTGATTTTTTTTTTTCAAATCAACATTATGCCACAAATGCTGCTGCAGCTTAACTTTTTCTGAACCTGGAATATTCCTTCAAATTCAAAACCTTCTGGAGGAGAAGTGGAATAAATAATCTTCATAAGCCATACAGGCTTACAGTCTGTTTGTCCTTCAATGATCCAACAATCCTCCATCACTGCAAAAAAAACCATGATGAAAGCCAAAGGAAGATTTCATTACTGCCTCAAACTGTAATGGGCAGCTGCCAGACCATGAGCATGTTCTCACTGGAATCAGAGGAGTTGGAGGAATTAGCGAGTCGACGGAACCCTTTTCCACCGGATATAACGGCGGCTGAAGTCACTTTCTCCCTACGTGCCGCTTCCTTAGATGACGGCCCAGGCCCTTTGACCCAAACCTCAGGGTCATCGCTCAGCTCATAGATGGAACCGTCCTCTAGGGTGTGCGCCAGAGAGTCCTGGGTCGAGACGGATGATTCTTCGGGCCGGGCCGTCAGGAGCTTTCCTGGGAGCTGAGAGGTAGAACGGAGATGGTACTGCAGTAGCACTCCTTTAGCTTTGGCTTCTACCTGAGGAGAGCCATCCGCCTGCTGGAGGGACTCCTGAGAGGAATCTGTCGCCTCCTTATCTTCAGCTCCACTACTTGAATCCCCACCTTCCATGGCAGAATCCCGCTTTAGAAAATCTTGGGATAAAATGCTGGAGGTGGCAACCAAGAATTCAACAGGGCCGTTGTGAGCATTAAGTGACGTCATTCCTTTTCCTGATGGGAAAGAGGGACCGTTTGTGTTTGGTAACACAAAGAAGGCTTAGATGCAATGCTTTGTTTGTTTAAATGGTTGCTCACCTGTTATTTTGGGAATGCCCTCCAGTCTGGGCACCGGCAGGGTGACAATAATTCCCTGAGCTGTGCCCACCCATAGCAGTCCTTGGCAGATAAGCAGGCTGGTTACACACACTGTTTTTTGACCTATGAAGAAAATATGATAAATTGTCTTTAATTTATTTTATTTCTTTTTTTTTTAATTATTATTAATTTTGCAACCAACTCCTGCTCCGTTTCAAAAATTTTTGTGGATCTACTTGACACTCATGCCCCTTTCAGGACCTGTGTGCCAAAACATTATCCTACAGAATTCATATCATGCACCATAATCACATATTGGACTTGCCAGGGCTCAAATATGCAGAGGGTGTTGAAATGTTGATCTCTTGGAGGTGTTCCAATGTTTCTGTGTGAAACAGACGTAGGGATGATCCCTCTGAAAATGCCATCCACACCCCTCCTCCGGCGCGCACCATGTGGGTCACACTAACCATGGGGTCTGGATGAACTTCAAAACTCTGGGAATCATAAAAGATACAAAATAATGATGAAAATGCAAAAAAAAAAGAAAGAGCAAGAGGAATGGTAAATTTAGAAGGAAAGAGACAAAAAAAATCTAAGCTAAACATCAAAGTTTAGGCCAAAACTGTGGACTGTAGTGCTCAAGAAAGGGTATGATTCGATGTCAGGGTATATACTGCCTAATGAAAGTCTGTTTGCGCATATGAGGCTGGGCATATTACATCAGAGTCCAGTATGCCAAATGTTAAGGAAAACCATAAAAGCTTAAATTAGTAAATAATCCACTTAAATCCACTAAGAATGTTTGGGAAATGGATCATTTCAAAAGTCAAAATAACACAGCAGTAATTACAGCAAGATGCAATAATAATATTTTATATATTTTTGTGTTTGTGTATACACACACACTTGATCTGTTTCTGATTATATTAGGAAAATATGATATTCTCTCTCTCTCTAATATTTTGTAACAATATTTGTTGGACCAAATAATGTTTTGATATTTTTGTATGCTATGCATGTTTTCTTTCTTTTTCTTTCTTTCCTTTCTTTCTATGTATTTTTTTTTTATTGTAGCCAAGACTTTTAGCTCTGCATCAAAATGTTTTATGTATAATACTTTTATTTAACAAGAATGCACTAAATTGATCACAAGTTACATTAAAACATATAATGTTAAAAAAAATTCATATAATTTATCATTCAAACTAAACTCTTTTGAACTTTCTATTAATCAAAATCAGAAATTTTAAGCAGCACTGTTTTCAACATAATGATAATGATAATAATGATACATGTTTCTTGAGCAGTAAATCATCATATTAGAATGATTTCTGAAGGATCATGTGACACTAAAGACTGGAGTAATGATGCTGAAAATTCAGCTTTGCCATACAAGGAATAAATTACATTTTAAACTATGCTAGAAACAGTTAATTTAAATTGTTATAACATTTCACAATATTTAACAATGTTTCCTTGTTACATGCCCTGCAGTTTAACAGGCTATGCCTGTACATACTGTTGTACTTCCTGGACCTTACTTCTGTTTTACAACAGATCAATTCTGACATTCTGCATTCTCTATAAGTGAAAACAACTACTGACTTGCAAATTTAAAAAGGTTAACATGTCCATATGCATACCCACAACTTATCTTCCGGTTGAACTGAACTTCCAACTTCCAGAGCTGAATTTAATCCTGATATTAAGCATCAGGAAGGCAGGGGGGGGGGGGGGGGGGGGTCTTGCCGG